GACACGCTACATTTTGCATCTGTTGGGGGGGGGGGGGGGGATATCAAGTAGGGTGATGGTGGAGAGTCAGATTCCTTATAGATTGTGTAAATTCACTTTCCGAACTGATATTTACACCTTATGTCTGGGTTATAGGAAATTCAATTTAGGATAATCCAAAAAGACACTTGTATATCTAGGCACAGAAACACAAGCCAAATTGACAGACGAATTCTGTGATTGTTCTAGAAGAAGAAGTGAGCTCAAGGGTTCTACACGGCTTTAAAGATGAGTCGTATATATACATGACAAACTATAGTTTTATCTTCTAAATTAGTTAAAGATAATTACGAACTTAATGGCTTAATCAATGGTTACCAAAATTAACAAGATTTGTCATTCTTATCATAATCATCCATTAGAATTCAGATTTTTCCATAAAGAAACTAATTCAAATTTAATGTCTCTCAACCCCGCTCGTTGACCGGTTAGCAGGACCACCTGACTCTGCTATTACTTGAATAACAAAAACTTCATTAATAAAGTAAGTGTTCCAAATTTTAGTGTATTGAACAATGTTACATCAAATTCAATCTCTTTGGACAAATTACGACATATTTTGACATGAAAATATAATATGTTACTTTAAGATCTATTTGTTAAAAAATTAAACTATTTTAGTGAGATCGTTTAAAACCTGGCTCGATCGGGCCTTTAATTGGTTTTGAGCCTAAAACAAGCGGTTGTAACCGGCCTAGTATGACTTTGTCCTTCGTTTGGGCTTTTTTAATTGACTTTGTTTAGAAACATTTAAGAACATTTATTAGTTAATAAAATATTTAACAAATTTTTATTTGATTATAAACCTATCAACTAATAAGATCGTCAGTTTTTTTATTCTTAAGGCGAGACGAAGTACCCTCACCGTCAGTGGCGAATCTAGGATTTAACTCAAGATGTCCAATTTAATTACATAACTAAAATAACTAAAATGATAAATAAATGGACCGAAAACTCTAGTTGTCAAGGCGATTATCAATAATCCTAATTAAGACACATAATAATAGATTTGAATCAAATTAACCACGTTATAAACATAAAAACCCTAACAACATATACAAACAATCAAGGCATTTTTAAACAAAAACAAACAAATAATTATCATAAACTTTGAACCAAATCAACCACATTATAAACATAAAAACCCTAACAACATATACAAACAATACATTTTTAAACAAAAACAAACAAATAATTAACATTTATGACGAAAGAACATGAATTAACATCAACTTAATCTAAACATTTAACACAAATTATAGATGCACAAAAATAAATTCATCTAACTTTACGACAATCAAAATATGTAGACAAAAAATAAAAAGAATTAATTTAAGTTTAGAATTGAAACTTGAAAGAATGGTCATTGATATTAACTTTACCTACTAACCTTTTATTTTTACTTTAAAGTCGTTTCTCTATACTTCATTTACTAATTCAATTTATTTGTGTACATCTCTTTCTCTCAAACTTTCAAGATTTAAGAATATTTAATTATTTACTAACTCCATTTTCAAGAAGACAAAGAACTTACGGATATAGAAATATGGAGATTAGGAGATGGAGACAAAGGCGAGAGAGCGGAGAGGGAGAGTCATAGGCAGCGGAGGAGAGGGGATGAGACGACGACCTGAGATGGGCAGAGGAAGGTGGCGATCGGAGTTGGTAGAAGTAGCGACAACCTCTATCCATGGAGAAGCTTCAAAGAATAACACACATAATTTTTGATTTTTTAGGGTTTTTGTATTCTTACTTATTTTTTGGATTTCTCATCCATCTTTTTGGATTTTTCTCTCTCTCTCTCTCTCTCTCTCTCTCTCTCTCTCTACCGTACAAAATCTTAATGTTTCATATCTCTCTCTCTCTCTCTACCGTACAAGATCTTAATGTTTCATATTTATTAGAGTAAATTACAGAAATGGTCCTTGTGGTTTGGTTGAATTCTCAGGTTTAGTCTAACCTTTAAAAAACTGATAGATTGTGTCCCTATGGTTTGGAGACATTACATCGTTGGTCCCTTTTAATGGACGCTATTAAGAATTGGATGTTAAGTCCGAGTAAAAGACCAATATACCCCTGATTTTTTATTTTGTGTTATTTGTTTTATTTTATAAACAACAAAGACCAAATATGTAATAAACAAATAAAGGAATAAAAGCCCTAAATTCTAACCCATCATCCATTGTCCCACTACAGCTTAAGTCGGACAAAATTCTTTCCCACCCAAAGCCTAATCATCATCGACTCCATCCAAAAATCAACTTCAATCGGAGGAAATTGCATCACCATGCTATATTCCTAATTTTTCCGGCTGCCTCCCTCATCCTATCACTTCCCTCGTCTGATGGTCGTCGTCCCTTCCAGTGATGGTGGTTTTCCTACACGGCCTTCCATATCTCCCCTACCTTCTTTTACTGCCATAGCCATCAACGACATCATGTACCACCAACGCACACATCCTTCTGCCCCGCCTGGCATCATCAACACTTATCTCTTCTGGCGGCAACAATTCCCCAACCTCTATGCTTTCGTTGTCTCCTTATTCTCACGCCTCACTCTTCTGTGGTAATAATTTTATTGAATCTAATTGAAATTTAGATGATATAGATTAATTCCTCGTTGAGAAATCAATATTAAACATAGCTTGCAAGTAATTGTGCCATTAATGGAGATTACATTTTATCAATTTTCTTTTTCGTTTTAAAAAGGTAAAACGTCTAAGATTTTTTTTAATTATATGAATGTTTCGGCATTCATTTAGGTGTTTTTAGTAGGGATCAAAGTGTTATACACCTTCTTTTCCAGTTTTTTTCCTTTGTATGTTGATTCCTTGAGAGAATCAATTGAGAATTGTCTATTTTTCTTGAGTTTGATACAAGTGACATGAAACAATGAAGATGGTTGTGCAGCAAATCACATAAGAATATGGTTTCTTGTATTTAGTTTTCCACTTTCTCCTACCTCCCAATCTAATTTTTGTCTTGTGTTTGTACATGAAATCACATAAGATGTTTGACATCTAGTTCTTAGCTTGTCTTTGTGAAACAAATCTTTTAAGAATTCAAGGTTTTGGTTTGTATTTAGATTCAGTGAAGTCCATAACATCCACTTCCAAAGAATTGTGTGGATGTGGTGTTTTAATTCGATCGGATTGATTACAGAAGTAGGTTGAAGGTTGAAGATTACCAAAGGAAGTTTTTAGAGAAGTAGAGGGCTGATGGGAAGAAAAAATAGGGAGAGGGGTATGGCCTTAAATAATACTCCTTCCGTCCCAAAATTATTATCCACAGAAAAAAACACACATATTAAGGAAACATTAATTACCTCTAACTTTATTAAATGAAATGACAATCATACATTTTTGTTGTATTTAATTCCATCATTTTGTTGCATTTAATTTCATAGTAGGTTAACTAATAATGATGGGTATTTTGGTAAAAAGTATATTTATTTTTAGAAATAGAGTATTATTTTAGGACAAACCAAAAAGGAAACATGAACTATTAATATGGGACGGAGGGAATAATAAAATTAAAATGAAAATAATAAAAATAAATTAAATTAGGGGTATATTAGTCATTTTATATGTTTTTAACATACTATTTCTAACACAGTCGGTCAGAAGGATCAAAACTGCAATAATTGAAAACCATAGAGGGATGCAACTTATCAACTTTTCAAAAGTTAAGACTAAAACTGAGAATTTGAATCTAACCGATGCCTTAATTGTTTCCGTAGAAAAATGGCTAACTTGTATGTATAAATGGCCGAGCATTCTTGGATGGGACGGGAACATCATTGTATAACCGTCGGTTAATCGGTTCTTTGTAGCCTCTGGTTTAAGTGCCTTAAATGCCAATTCAAATCAATCCAAACATCTTTGTAGGAGACATACAAGAATCCAACTCAAAGCTTCTACCTCCGATGCTAAATTCATAAACTAATTAATCCAACAGCTGCCACCTTCCATTCTTTGATAAAGTTTAATTGGCATAAAAGCATATGCAAAAGCCTGAAAAATCATACACAGCCCGACATACAGTCTTCAAACCTTAGTGTTTTCACAAGATACAAGTTTATAGTAAATAATTTCTTTTATTAGACTTAAACGGTTAAACCATACATATTAGTATATGAAAATTAAACATGTTCCTTGAATAGCAATAAGGCTAGACATGCAGTAAAGTTAAGTACTAGACATGAATCTAATTGCAAAAAATATGACCATGAAAGTAATTATAGGAAAAGATATTAATGCAAGTAGAACCAATGTCTTGGCTTTTGTTGCCCTTGGACCCACCATCCTGCCAATTCATCTTTCTAAATTTTCAAAGTGAGAGATGTTGGAAGAGTTGATCTCACACTTAGGAGGTACTATCCAAACAAGACTATCGACATACTCAATAATTTTTATCCAGCCATTTTGTGTAGCCATAGTATTGATCAATTTAATATTGGCTGCAATTGGATCATACAAAGCTAGACCAGCACCAACTTGAATAAAAAGAAACTCACTGTGTAATGTGAATCCAATTGGAACTATGCAACTAAACTGTGAAAACTCATAATGTTTGACCCATGCTTCAGCAGCCCCATACTCATCCATCGTCCACACCTCACATCTACCAGCTTCAATGCTTGACATCACACAGAGTTTTCCATCCAAAACTCCTAACACATTTCAGCTCTGAACACTGTAATCTAGTATAGAATCTGGAAGATGTATCTCATGGAATGTCTCAACACCCAAATCAAATGCCACTATCGTTTGTGCCTTCATCTTCTCATCAATATAACAAAGCCAATGAAGATGACCATTATAGCCATCAACACAAACTTCATGTTGAGGCTGAATCCTTGACACGTAGGAAGTAAACCTTTGGGTGATTAACTTACAAGAACCGTTTCTCATGCTATAAACCTAAACTTGTAACTACTCTTTAATCACATAATGTTGGTGGCTACTGGGTGGTCGGTGAACGCTTGTAAGCTTAACAACTTTGTAATCCTCTGTTTCAGGTTCATATGCAAACCGGAAAATGATTTCGATGGAGTCATTATAATCATTGGAATGCATGGAATGTGGGGGTATAGTTAACATGGGAGAGAGAGAAGGATTCCAAATGTTAACAGCTAAATAACCATCTGATATGTGACAAAAACATATTAAGCCGTTAACTGAACCTATAACAGTATTTTCAGATGGGGGATTATTCAGGATTTTGATGAAGTTAATGTTAGGAAAATATAACCCAAAATTGTACAAAAGAACAAAAGCATAAAATTCTTGACCGAGGCCTGTGTTTAACACAATTTCCTTAAAACAAATTCGCCCTATATGAGTGTTTGTTTCCCAGGATACAACAGTAAAAAACAATTCTTCTAGATTACTCGAACCCTCACTTGGCCTGGATTATACATTGGTTGCAGCAAGAGAGAAACGATGAAGCAGAAGCGTAAGAGAGGAAGAGAGTGATTTCGTTTCATCCGGTGTCTGGAATCAGTCACATATTCATTGTATATATACTACCCAATGTAACCGATGCAATTAAAACGAAATCGTAACTGTCACACTTAAATAAGAAAATTAATCAAGAAATCAAAACCAAAATCTATGATTAATTGCTCTTAATTCGGTTTTGTAACTGTTAACCAAAAGGATAAAAATGCAAAAAAAGGTCATTGAACTTTTCTGGTCGACCGGTGGTGCATTCGTGCCCGCAGTACGCGCGCTCGCACACAAGTTCAGTAGCCCGAAGCCAATTTGGCTCGCATTTGCACCCCCTCTGCATGCGCGCGCAAGAGAGAGCCTTGGTTCTAATAAGTCTTACAAAGGTAGCTAGTCTTTGTAGTTATAAACCA